TTATATATAAATTTCAAAACTGTTCTGTATATACATGTACATCATTAAGCTTGATACGACAAAGCCAAGTGACACATTGAGCGAGATGTCCTACAAGTTATCGTAGTTCATTACTTACTTTTTAAAGTTGACATACAGCAGAGACCTGTGTAAATCGATGAGACTTGAAAAAGTCCAGGAGAAATGGGCTCTTACGTAGTTCGTCTTGCAGTTTTGTTAACACCGTTCACATTGTGTAACAGTTTGCTTAATAATGTACCCTTTGTCATGTTGACAAATACTTTCCAAGTGGGTTGTGGTGCTGATGATGCAGGTACAGTGACGATTTTGAGGAAAGTAAAATCTGGCAAGACAGACATGTATTTATCAACTTATATGTACCCTAAGAAACGAAACCAAGAATCTATCTCCTTCAGCTACATGTAATAGTTTGTAGCAAGCCACTGTTTTCCAAGCCGTATTGACTGTGCATGTTGCAAAGGTTTTATCATGCAAAGTATTATGTATAGTATGCAGTGATATCATCATAGTATCAGCGATTCAGCGGTAAATACTCGGAAAAAATCAACTGCAAAAAAAATTTGCATCACCTGCTGCACTAATTTGTTAGGATGAATAATAGATATTGTGTGATCAACATTTTGCCAATAAGAGGATTTGAATTAGTTACATGTGGTTGTATTAAATGTCAAATGTTCATTGTTACCGGTACATGTATACATGTACACGTATATGCACATATGTACTTGCACCTGTATATTTGTACAGGAGTAATTCTAGAAATTAGGGGTCCATTTTTTTTCGTGTCCCTGTCACATCTGACATATGATTTTGTAAGTTGAGAACACACTTTCCAGTATCCAAGAGTGATGAATTAATGCAAATTACTTGCCAAACAAATACATGTAGTAATAGTTTGAAATCAATTCCGGCGATATTTCCATGTCAAATAACAAAGGCCAGATGTAAAGACACAAAAATGCCACACTTTTGGACCCCTCATTTCTGGAGTTACCCACATGTAGATCATGAGATGATTAACTGTTTGTCATTGGATATTTCAGTTACACCAACATACATGTACATGTACAGGTTTGGAAGTTTCTTGCATACCTTGCAAATTATCAGTACATGTATGATTCTAGACATTACATGGGAACTTATAAACTACATGTACAGGAAGTGGAAGGAAAACATTGTATAAATTTCATTGACATTAATGTGGGTCATGTACTTACATGTATTTCATTATTCACTAGCAGGAGCCACTTAACCAATATGCTCATGTACAGTCATTTGCTAAAGTTTCAGACCACCTGGAATTTTATTGCCATTTCTGTCACTGGGCCTGCATTACATTGTCTCATTGAATGATTACTTAACATGATTTTACAGTGGTGCATAACATCAGTGTAGTGCTGTATGCCCATTCGAATGAAATCGTTTTTTTTGCAAAGGCAGGTCTTGTACTTGTATGACATTTTGTCTGTAAGGCAGCTTGGGAAAAAAGCCAGTCTAAGTAATTAGAAATAAAGGAGGGAAGACTGAATATTAGACTGTTAACATGTCAAATCATGGAAATGTAGTCAAAATGTTCAACCAAGGTTACACATTGAAAACAAACATAAGTTGCCATGATTGATTGGTTTAAGTTTGGTTTTCCTTCAGGTTAATGCATTTCATATGGGTGGTATCTTAAACTTATGGCTGTACATGTACAGTACCTATGCTGGCATAGCGTACTGTACACCTACACAGTACATGTACATTGTACAGTATACAGCATACAAGTACAGAGCAAATGTGCAGCCATGCACATACATGTATGTACACATACACCTAAATGTTTTGTGTGTTTATAAATGTAGTGATATTTGCGGTTCCAAGATCTGCCATGTACAGTACATGTATTATATCCCTCTTAGCTAACTGCGCAAGGGCAGGAATTTTTGAGGATGTTTGACGACCCTGACCTGTTTTATTAATGTCCTGTTGTGACTTGAAATCAAATTACACTGGGAAACAAATGGACTTGAAAGCATTTCATAGCTGACGGCCAGATTAAATTAGCATTTGTTATGTCTCATTGCCCGCATTGCTGCTTTCTACTGTGTTTGTCTTTCTTGGCAGATGCATGTAATTTGTACTCTGTAACCTAAACACAGAATGTTTGGGGATGAAATGGGCCCCCTTTGCCGAAAACTGTGCTGAGCAAATTAATCAAATAAGTTTGGCATTGACATGTGGCATTTACAGGTATGTCTCCTTCTGAGAGCCTCATTAGTGTTAATCACTAAGAAATTATATCAGTATCAGTAAGGAAACCCAAGCACTAGCTGGGTCATTATTGGCATTGGACAACCTGCCCCCTTCATTTAGACCTAATAGGAGTGTTTCGTCTAACAACCCAGGAATCAACTGTACACGTCAACATCTTGCATACATCATGTCATCCTGTAGTGTATCACTCAGTCTTCAATGTTTGTGTGTACTATCACTCGTGCATTGGGACGGCTCGTTACATGCACATTCATAATTATTTACGTACAAAAAATTACCAATATACATGTAATTAGATACATCCTCCCTTGGTGGTTCTTGATAGTGTGAATTTGTCTAAGTATTGGTCGTCAAGTGAAAAATGTTAATGGGTCTTTACACGTCACATCATGATGTTTTGACATCAGAGTAACCGGTACATGTACATGTACAATATAAAACTAAAAGCCACCAAAAAGAAAGAGAGAAATCAAACATAAATGTCCTTTGATGTGGATCTGAGTGAATTTGCATGTACAAAGTAAACCTGTAATGATTCCATCTTTGCTATGTTGCTTTTATCTTCAAAAGGATGTTAATGGATGGTACATGTAGGTGAGGTTCGTTAGCAGCAGTAGCTAACAAGGTTATTGACAACTGGATGGGGTTAATGCATGAATGAGATTAGTCCATCTGAGGATTTTTTTTCTTTCATTTACATTACATTCAATGGTGTAGTACATGGATGCACATATCTGCATGCAGCATTGATTCATACAATGTACATGTACACGTACATGTACATGTACATGGATGCATGCACATTCATCCCTGTGTTATATTTTACATGTACACGTACATGTATCTATGTACATGTACATGTACATTGTTCCGGTACTGATACATGTGCATGTGCATACGTGTACATATTCTTTGTGTGTCTGCTTTGTGGCTAAATGCTCATCATGTTTTAAAAAGTCTTGGTCCTGGATCATGCATGTACCAGTGTCTCTCAATGTCCAAGACAATTTTCTTGACACAGTCAGTTTTCAATTTCAGTAATGTTTAGAGCTTGCATACACGTACATTGCATGAGAAATCCTCCACAATTTCCAGGGATAGAATTCCAATTCTGCCCGTCCAACCATTGTTCATTCTTAATTCTGATGTCTCTTGTAAACATATGCGATTGCCAGTTTATTTTCTATTGAGGCACAATGTATAGAGAAACCTGAATTGTACTTATGTATCAAAGTTGCACAAATAAACACTGTCAGCCTCTCTACCCTATCAATCTGTATTAAATGTACCTCACTAGCAAGACTGTGTGTCCCATTGGGCTAACAGTCCTCTATGAGTCAATTCAATTTCTTGTGACTTTTCCCAGACATTTTCCCATTTTCCCCACGTAACCAGGTAAAGTTGATTTTTTTTCCCCTGAGTGCTTACAAGGTCTTCATCCAAAGACCCGACATTAAAGTAAATATACACTTCAAGGTGGTTACGAGACTAGTGATGAAAAATCAGCATTTACTTAAGATCAGGTTGTGGCGTGAGTCTGATATTCAGAGTCTTCATTGCAAGATGAATCATCTTTGTCCTCGAGTATACGGTACATGTATTTGCCAGAAAGATAATTTCTCCTTAATAAGTGAACCTTGCAGATTTATGGATTCAAATGGTTGATCTTGGGCAACAATTAGCACAAAGCGGGGATAAGCGTGTGCGTCTGTGGCCGCATTATTAAACCAATATCTGCAAATTCATTCTTCAGCCATCAAAGAGGAATATGAAATTTGGTTGAAAGCTTGGCATTTAATCAATTTTTTAAAAATTGCTTTCAATCTTTAATACATTTTGGAACTTTTTTAATCTGTTTCCATTGGTACCCCTTATACAAGCACTCTTTACATGGATTGTTTGTCCAAATTGTGAAATTACCCAAAATATGAATAAAAATAATGGAACGATTGATTGTACTGTACCACATTTTGTAGTCGGTGGCTACAGTAGAAACACACTGTACTTCACGTACATACATGTACATGTACATATTCGTAAGGGAAAAAATACATTCATATTGCTTGACTGGCCTTAAACATTCATTTAAGACTGGCTCACGAGAATAAAAGGTGATTATGCCTGAGGCGAAGGCGAGGGACATGATTGTTATCTAGACAATAAACATTTAAATGTCTTTATTCCTTTTCATAAATGTCACAAAGCCACAAGAAGTTTGAAAAATTAAAAATTTCGAGTGCTTTTGTTCAACAAATTTACTCTTTTTTAACATCCCTCTAGCCATGTTATGGTGCAGTCCTCTTGAGAGAGGTTGTAAACAGTCTCCCCATTTGTTTTCTTCAAAATGGCAGCTTGCCAGAGACATTAATTTCACATGGAGTTATGTCCTATAACTATTTTTAACCCAAGTACCAGAGTATGTTACTATGTTTTAGTAACAGTCAGTTTCTTTTTGGACACCTGCAAATTGATGGATTGTACCTTTGAGATGTACATGTATGAATGCCCTGTGTGCATGTACACTTTATCTGCTCCGAAAGGAAATAAAGAGGGCATTTTTTTTTTGGTACTTACTGCATAGGTGCGCGTTTATAATGGAGATCAATGGCATATTTGACACAGAGCACGATGAGTACGCATAACAAATTTATTCTTTAATGTGTGGTCTTTGCCTACGCGCAGAATGTGTGCAAGAACCTGCTTAGAAAACCTACCACCACCTGTCTTTCTGTTGCTGCTTGGGGGGTGCACTTCAACTCAGGGCGGATTGATTGCTGCTGTATGTGTTCATGGGTAGAGGGTTATGTCAATCTGTTAAATATACTGTCATGAAGATAATTCTTTGAATGATAGACAAGATGTATCTCATGTTGATTTTTGGTCTTTTTTGTTTGGGTCATTCTTGCAGAAGACACCGAGGATCCTTCCCTCCATCCCAAAACGAGCACGTTATTTATGACCAAGTCGCAAACACTTGGTGAGTTTTTAGCCAGACAACTTTAATTTTTAAATCGCAGAATACATGTAAAAGGCAAGTTTGTTCAAAGGCAAGTCTTGGACAAGCCCTTTTATGTCACATTCTGTGAATATATTTTTGTTGACCTTAAATTCACAGATTTTCATGACTGTTGGTTTGCTTGGAGTTAGCTAACTATTTATGGGTCATTTTCTGAGTCATTACTTCCCTTTTCTCTAAATGATCAGTACACTGGTACATGTAATTGGCCCAACATACTCATTGAGTTAGAGACATGTTCTAGTTTAACAGAACTAGAGTAATATGTTTTGAGTGCTTCCTTGTGAAAACTGCTTGAAATCTTATTGTTTGGCAGATCGTTTGAAATTTGAGTGTGAACTTAATGTATAGCCATGGAGATACATTTACATGGGTGGAACTTTAGAGTAAACTAATTAACATAGCAGAGAAGACGTCACTGTTTACCAAAAGAAATGTTCAGGTTTGGCTGTACTGACATCTTTAGAACCTTTTGATCCAAAAACATGTTCAGCAAAGTTTCATCAAAAAATGTCAGTAACGATTTTCAATTTCATTCAGCTTTTGAACACAAATTGTCAATAAACATGCAAAACTTTTAAGATTGAATGGAATTTCAGTAAAAGTAATTAGTTGAAATCTTTTGTGAAGTCAGTGTAAACGAGTTTATTTCATTTCCTTTTTCTTGCCAATCCATGTGATATCAGAAGTGGTTCGTGAGAGACGGAAACAGAACCAACTACAGTGTCTGAATGAGCAGGCTGCCCATCACAGGCGGAGCAGGTTACTGACTAAGTCCAGCTCTTGCTCGACGATATATATCGATGATAGCACTGTCACTCAGCCCAACCTCAAGGCCACCATCAAATGGTGAGTGGTGTATGGGATTTGACCTTGAGCAAGTTAAGCTCTGTGAGGATCACTCATAAAAGTGAAATGGACCATTTTGGCTAATTAAGACATTCTTAATTGAAAAGCCAATTGCTCATTATCCCTATCCTTCCTCAATCTCCCAAAATCCTCCAGGCTGATTTGTTTATTTGTTTGGTTTTGAGAATTTTGGAAGAATTGAGCTGATTGTGTAGCCGATTGTGAAGCGTGCATTATCTCAAGGTCTTACGTGAGACCTTGTGTTGTGTGTACACCGCCATACACAAATTCAAGCCAACTTTAGAATAGGATACCTCTGCCTCCTCATAAAGTGATGAATTGCTGGAGAATTTTGAAGGATTTAGGCACTGGGCACTCGTTCAGGGAACCTATTTAAGAAATATCGGATAATTTTTGGGAACTGAGGCTGTATCCAATTTTTCCATAGAGGGTGTAGGAGGAATGTGAACGATTGAAAGTGCCCCCTAGCCAAAAGGACCTGGGCATTAGGGTTAATAAAATGAAAACCTTGTTAATGGGCAAACTGCCAAGAACTGGAACAACAAAAAACGTTGCAGCACAGAAGACACAAGGTGCCCTTTGAAATGGCAAAACAAAAGGTTAAATGTGACTGGGAAATGCATTTTCAAGGACTTTGTTTTTGCCCTTTAAAATGTAGCACCGGTTTTTCTGTTCATTGTACATTTAGCATGTGCATACAGTATGTACAATGTACACGTACATGTACATTGATTGTGCATCTATGCACTGTACTGTAGTATACAAATTTATGGACTTGTGCATGTATGACTGTGTATAGTACATCAAACTGAAATGATAAGAATTAAAATAATCACAACACCTAAGGGGAGTCAAGTTTGCACAGGGGTTTCTTTCCCTACCTTCTCCCTTTGCAGCCCGGGTTCGAATCCCACCTACTGTACAGGTCAGCAGGTGGATTGGGTTGTCAGTTCCTACCTGATTCGGTTGGTTTGCCTGAAATGTTGTCCAGGGTTGTCCTTCCATTTGTAAATTACTTGTAAACATTTCTTCATTATCTTCTTTCTTGTCGTTCCTTTTCATCCTGTAAATTGGTTCTGAAAGCGCTGTTGGATGAACAGAAATAAATAAATCCTCAAAATCATGATAGTCCAAACCCAGAGAAGTTGGCACAGTAATGAAACTTTTGGAATCAGCATACTTCATTTAACTTAACAAATATTCCCTCGCATGAGTATTGATATGTATATAGACTTTATTGACAGATACAGAAGATCTGATTCAAATGAGCCAAGTTTATAAACAATGACATGTACATGTACAGTACGTATACATGTACCGTACATGTACCATAAGTCTAATATGTTCGTGTATTTTATGTACATGTATGTGTACTTTCTCCATAATATTTTGGATACCGGTATGTCACTCAATGGGTCTTTATACATGTATGCTCACTGTGCATGTGTTTATGTACATATACCCACATGTATGTGTATTTGTGTTTGCACCGTATTTAATTAATTAAGGGAATTTTTTTAGCTAGTTCAATATTTCAAAAGTGGTTTTATGCACAAAATGAAGTACAACAATGCACAATTTGAAAAGAGGGTCATTTGAAAACATCAGTACGAGTGAGTGAGGTTGTTTCTTATCAACGCTGCCATATGCCAACTCAAAACACACTGAACATGTTTAAGCTGGCATGACGCACTACGTGGAAGGTGCTTTGTTCTCAAATGACCTTGCCTTGAAGTAATGTGCACTGCCAAATTGGCTTATTGTACTATGACTGGCATTATTAAGGCCAGATTTTTAGATATTGTGTGCCTGTGAGCAGATGCTGGAAAAGTATGCGTAACAGGAAATCAGTATGTTTTTACAAACCCATCTTTGAAGTGCATCCTGAAATGGGACATTTGGCCAAGGACAGTGACTAATGGATCTTCCTTGGAAACCCCCATGTGGTAATGGAAATCTCTCAATAATGCCATGCTTAGCCAATCTTATGGTATCATTGTTACAGTATGTACGGTAGATTATACATGTACATGAGCGTGCATGTATATGCACTTGTACTTTTTAATATACATTGTACATGTAACAGGAAGTTGGTATGCTTTGTGTTTGGAAAGAAGAATTTCTAAAAGTGTATCCTGAAATGATGGGTTTCTTGGCCTCCCGAGGGGCATTGCACATGCACATTGCACTGTACATACTATGTACATGTAGATGTACTGACGCATGGAAGACAAGTTTGGGCGTGAATTATGGTTTGATATTGCTTTATTAACAATGCACACACACAATACAGTCGTACTTAAACTACATGCACTAAGATCTCGTCACATACTGCCATTGGCTGTACACTGTGGCGTTCATGGTCTGTGACATCCCGTACAGTTATTTTCAAGTGAATGGTTCCCTCCATACTGTTAAATGTAATTGGCAACATTGACAACCAGCAGTATGGCAATGGCCCAAGGCCCTGGTTCCAAATCGTTGCCAAACCCTCTTTTGTTCAGGCGACATTGGTCCAGCTATGGCTAACTGTGGTTGTCGCTCAAACTTACCTCGTAAATTTTTGAAAAGGTTCTTGAATTCCATCCACAAGTATGCCTGCAGTGTTGACAAAAGGAGAGGTTTGGCAGACATTAGAGCACTGGTCTGTTAAGAGCTCAGTACCTGTGGGTTAAAGGTTTGTGAATATTCAGATAAAAATAACATGTGCACTCTACGTTGCGTGTATACAAACAAATGTGTACATGTGTGTACATACCGCTACATGTATGTTGTGCCAACAACATCCAGGGTTTTTTATTGTGTTGGGCATAGTGGTAGGGGAGGGGAGGCACCTGATTTGGCCCCTCCCCCCACCTGACATTAGAAAATTTTTTTTTTAAGGAATAGAAGGATGTAAGGCATCTTTCTTCAGTGGAAGATTTGTTGTTTTTAACTACATGTAAAAGACAAAAAATTGGGACGGTCATTTCAACAGAAATTCTCATTTTGTATCCGTGGACTTCAAACCTGGATACATCACTGCCAAATGCACATCAGTAATGCTTCAAATATGGGTAAAAAATGGTCAAGGATCCTCTGCCTAAGATACGCTCACACATCATTATAACATTGTTTCAAGTTTTTGATTGAGGTTGATGATGAAAATGCCAGGAAACAGATCAAAAAGTAAAAATAGGGTGACCGTTAATCAGAAAAACAAAGAAAAGTATAAATTCAATAAATCTGGACAAGACTGAGCTCTGCCATAGTTTGTGAGCCAACTACATGTACATGTATATGTTTACATGTATGTATGAAATGAATATCTTTGATCTATCCCCAATTCCAATGTCTCTGATTACACTTCACAGCTGTCCCAGAAAATGCACAGTTGTCTGATTCCTGAAGGCAGGAAACAGATTAGAGAGCAATCCGGCCTGTGGATTGTAATGTACAGTACATTGGAGCTAGTAATTAGATTGTGTCAAGTATTTGAAGGTTCCGCTTCACCTGGTGTTTGCCCCAATGGAAGGTACATGTACAGTCCATTTAATGGCATGTCATGTATAGATGTAGGCCTACTGTTTCTTGTAGGAAGCTGTACACACGTATGGAAGGTTCATTACATGTCAAACATACATGTACATGTATTCTCCCGCCCCTAAAAAAATTGCGACAGATTAGTAAACCTTGGAAATTCCTCCTTTTTTGTGTAAATTCCAAATATCAGTTTTGTGTACCATTTAAGTACCCCACTAGGACAACCAGTGTTCCGTCTGCGGTACATGTACTTCCTATTGTTCTGGTATCCCAGAAGGCACCATAAATATGTACACGAGAACAAATATTCCCACCAGCATACAAGTGTAATGTGTATGTACCAGTGCTTGTGTGTTTAGTTGTTTTTGGTGCTTGTTTCAATAACCATACTCACTGGCGTTACTCTGTGCTGTACACGTATTTCTTGCACACTCTCTGGCACCCCAACAAACCATATACAAGTATGTGGGCATGTTCATGTGTATGTGGCTGGTCATTCACATTTTTGTTTATGTTACTGGCATTTGGAAAATATCAAGTTACACGTAAGTTTTGATACGAATTTTTTGCATCATTCAAATCTAAAATGTACCTGGCTTGCCCTTGCAGTAACCGCAGATGTAAATGTCGGGCAACTTTACCCTCAACACCAAAGGAATTGCCCAACTCAAGATTCTAAATTATGAATTCACATCTTACATGTACATGTACATACCTTAGTTCACAAGGTTAAACTGAAAGAATTTAGTCTTCTTTTTTTAAAATTGAAATTAGTGGTAATTTGATACATTATGATGTCAAGCAAAGTTTGAAGCTTGAAGAAAAGTCCCAAAGAATTATTGTAAAAAGAGAGCCAAGATAAACATTCACAATATACACAGCAGGTGATTCGGTGGAGTCTGGTCACCTGAATAATGGATGGCACTGACAGGATATAGTTACAGCATTTATCACTAATACCATAGATTTGGCATTACATGTAGAGGTTGTAGCTATATCAGGAAGAGTGGTATTGAATTTCACGTTGGTACCCAAAATAGTTTCCTCTGCAATTACACGTATCCTGTAAAAGGAGAAAGTCCAGTGGTCCCACATGTGGAGTTGACAGCTATATTTAAAGCAGAATTTAAATTGTACTTAGAGCAAACAGAAATTATACATCATGTACTGATCTGTGTGTATTCCAGACTCTCGGGCAATTCATGTAGAATTTAAATATTGATCTTGTGACATTGATCCACGAGATTGCAGTTCCCTTTTGAATACACCAAGAATCATACGCTTGGATTAGCCATCACATGTTGCAATGTACGGTACGTGTGGACAACATACATGTAAACATTTCAACATCAACCTGTATCCATGTGAACCACAACTTACAGGATCAATTAATGCATGCACATGTAGCTAGTTGCACATGTACCCAATTTCATGGATGAGATGACTGCTAAAGTGTGAAGTGGCTTTGGGTCATGATGTAGAAGTGTCAGCAATTTGATCTTTTGGTTTTAGTGCATGCAGTGTAATACTTTAGTCCAACTGTTCTACCGGTGGTGTATTGACATGGGCTTGTTCAACAGGTATCATTGGAAGAACCCAATACAGATATTCTGTGTGACATGCCTAGTGAGTTCCAGTCCAGGGATACCCCAGGAACACTCCCATGAAATCATGTAGTACTGTATAGGGCACTCTGACTGTTCCATGTGACCTGACTTGTACACATGTATATCTGCCATTGTCATACCTGTAAGCAAAGACTGTGGCAGCCATGTTCAGTATTTAAATGTACCTGTTGGTATTAAGCAAGCCTTCAAAGCTTTGATAAATGGTAAAACGTTTAAGAAAAAACGGGTTGTTTGTGGCAAAAACGTTGACTGATGTGATTTTTTATAATGAAAGAAACTACATGTATATAGGGATTATAAAGATGAACAAAGAAATTGACTGGAGTGGGAGTTGAACCTGCGACCTCTGGAATACCGTACCATGATGATTTTTATACACAATATTTCATAGTCAATTATATATATAGTCAATTGCAGAAGTTTAGGACCACCCATACAAAATGCATTAACCTGAAAAAAAACTAACTTTAACCAATCATTCAGGTCAACTTATATTTATTGTGTAACCTTAGTATCTTGGTTACACAGCTACAATGTATTTGACTACATTTCCATGATTCAAAATGGTAACAGTCTAAGATTTAGTGTGCCCTCCTTTATTTCTGATTACTAAGACTGGCTTTTTTTACCCGTGGTGCCTTACAGGCAAAATGTCATACAAGACCTGCCTTTGCAAAAAATTTCATTCAAATGGGCATATAGCACTACACTGATGTTATGCACCACTGTAAAATCATGTTAAGTAATCATTCAATGAGATGTAATGCAGGCCCAGTGACAGAAATACCAATAAAATTCCAGGGGGTCTTAAACTTTTACAAATGACTGTACATAGACTTCAAAGTTGTTTTGCATGAAACTGAGCCTCATTGTGTTGTTTACAAAGTGTGGTGCATACATGTACATGTAGTAGCTTACCAAACATTTACCTACAACAACGGTGGCTGATCTGGGGGAA